CCTGCTGGTGTCCCCTGAGTGGTAAAATCTGGACGATTCCTCCTGAAGGAGAACAAAACGCACGCCCAAGAGCCAAGTGTGCTAGAACCCATCTCCAGTGATTGAAGGGGTTGCTGGGGAGCAGGACAAGAAACAGGAGGGAGAGAGGCCAAAAGCAACTCTCTCAGTGTCACCTGCCCTGATGCTGGCTACTGAAGGTGACCACAAAATATGGCAGTGACAGCTCTATGTCCCCTCCAAGAAGATTTCTCTGCACCTCCTGAATGTACAGCTGGCCGCCCCAAGTCACTATCTAAAGCAGCCCCTCTTTTTGCTGCAGCAGCCGGGGCAGGCCATGCAACCCCAGGGCCTTTCCGGTAGGAGGGTCCTCAGCCATACATGGATTTATGGTGCACCCAGTTCCTGGGAGAGGAAGGACTGCTCTGACATCAAAGGGTCCGTCAGCATCGCTGTTCCAGAAACTGCTAACGCGATGAGTGGGCCGCACAAAGGTAGCGGGGTAACGATTAGCTCATCTCTAATTATATGGGATTTACGATTAGGCAGCAAGTTTATTTCGGAACACTGCAATAACAAGACGCCAGCAGTGGAGAGGACGAGGGGGCGGAGTTCTAGATTGGCCTTTAGAATATAATAGCTTGCCGTTGCCGTGGAAACCAGCTCCCTGGGAGTTCACAGGCACCTTATTCTATAATTATAAGAGATCTGATAAGGGGGGTGGGGATGATGGTGTGTCCCCCCCCCCTTTATAAATTGTATTCAGTGGCTGAAAATAGAAGAACCTGGAGAACAAAGCCTATTATTAACCACCATCTGCTAAGAGGCGGCTGCACTTCAGCTGCCTAAAGAGCTTGTTCCGGAAAGTTCTTGCAGATGTGCTCAGAATGCCAGGGGTCAGGCAGGACTGCAACCCTGAGAGGGAGCCTGTGTCCAGGCAAACCCAGCAGGAATCTCACTTCGGGCCAAAATGGGGGCCCCCCATGGACTAGATCCATTGTCTGAGGGGACTGTTTAAGTCCCCCATCCCAGACAAATTCACAATTTGCAGAATCTCCTTTCTCCCTCCAGAAAGCCTTCCCCCTAATTCCCAGATTTAAAATCCAGGTGGAATCCCAGCCATCTAGTCGTGGGTCTTGGGGCAAACTTCTTAAGCTTGCTGAATGTCAGTTCTTTCTTGGTTAAAGATTGTTATGAGGATTACACAAAATAACGAAAAAAAAAGGGAACATGTTTGGCACACTGGAAATTTTGTCTCATACAACTGGACCATCTCAGGAACTGAGCCAAACTCGTTTTGGGAGAAAATCACCCTTCTTCTCAAAATCAAACCACCCATTTTCAGGTAGAATGATTTTATCAGTAATACTAGTAGACACTGAACAGAATAGGAATACCCAGTTGTTATAATAACAATAATAACAACAATAACAACATTCATTTGTGAAATTCAATAGCTTTAAGGTATTTTCTCCATATTTTATTGAGGTTGTATGTGGCTGTAATGGAGTGAGTGGTTTCTCTGTGGAGTCATTTATAAGGAAGCCTGAGCAGTTGAAAAGCTTTTTTTTCTAAATAGCATTCCCTTTTTAAATGGGTCATGGTCATTAAAAACTAAAGCCCAGCAGTGTCAAGTATGGCTGTGTATGTTAAAGACAGTGAGTCAATAAAATCACCAGAAGCTGTTTTCTAAGCTATTCAAATTCTGCATCTAAAGAATTTGTCCAACTGCCCTCTAAAAGCAGGAAATGAGTGAGAAGAATAGAGAATGCTTCATTCTATTCATGACCATAGTTGCCTGTTGTCCTGAGTTAATGGTCTTTAAAAGCTAGAGACATATTGGGAGGAAATATCACCACTATTTATGCTTTTCTTCCCCATCTAGATGCCCATGGATCACCCATCTCTTCTAGAAGCAGCAAGAGAGTGTTCACTGATCAGTGTCTGCTATTAGTAGAATTATTATGGCTATGCATAATAGAATCTCAAAAGGATAATAGCTAAAATGGATTTATGTCTTAAGTATTACTCCAGAGGTAAAGCCCAGGGCTGATGTGGGGATTCTGCTCATGGCATCCTCAGGGATCTAGCTCACCTCTCTGCCATCTCTATAACTTGGCTGCATCTTCATGGTTCCCCATGGAAGACAAAGCACGGGCCCTCACAAGTGCATTCTAAAGAGTAGGAAGGGGAAGGGAGAAAGAATGGGAGGAGGCGAGGGTTAGAGTGCAGGCTTCTTTCCTTTGAAAGAAGATTCTTAGGAGCTTCCATACAATAATTTTTGCTTTCTCTCTTAGCCGTATGACCACCTTAGCAACCAGTGAGGTTGGGTAGAGACTGAAGTCCTTGAGCTAGGCAATCACATTCCCAGCTTAAAGTCAGGGGTGCTTGATGAAAGTGAAGTACATGTTAAGAACATCCAGCGATCTTCACCTTGGTCTTTTGCACTCTGATTCTTTTTCAATATCACTTCTTGCCATGTGACTGGCTGGAGGTCATCCTCAAGTCCAGGTTCAACTACATGGACCCAGGAAGTTTCTATTCAGCCTGAGCTAACCTGAGGCCTTTGTACTATGGTGCAAACCACCACCATACACTCTTATGGGACACACAGCTGTGTTACAGGAATGACAGGGCACTGAGAGCCCTGCCCTTATCTGTAAGGAGCTTACCCCCTTTTGAGGCTCTCCTGTGAATTTCTCATGAGAAGACACCATCTCAAAGCCTCAGGTTGACAACAGCCAGGAAACCAACCCAACCAAAAAGGTGAACTCAGCAAAATGTAGGGACTTGCTTATAGCAGTCTTCCTCCAGTGTTGGAGATTAAACACCCAAGAAATTCCAAGGCAAGTGTAGAAAGCAAGTTTTATTTAAGTAAGGGACAGAGACAGCAGACTTCTCTGAAGAGTTGGGTGTCTGTGGGAGTGGGTGTGTCTTGCTTTGTTTTAGACCCCAGAACCCCGCCCCCACCTTCTCTTTCTTCTCCATGTTCTTGCCTATGGGTAGGAAGGAGCAGGAACTGAGAGGGTCATCTTAGCAACCCAACCAGCCCTCATCCTCTCAACCCCCATCATTCATTATCTACACTGACTGCCAGGCCTCAGTTTGCTGAGGAATATGACATATCCTGACGATGCAGGCCAGGTGGGGCTGGAGCAGATTGCTTTTTGGCAAAGAAAGCACGTGGGGAATCAGCTCAGTGGGCTCATTTTATAGAAGTATTCTCTTAACCTCTGATCCCACCATCCTCATCTATGTATCCCCATACATTACTAGAAAGATAATAGGCTCTGTCGTAGAAGTCTAAGGCAAAAGAATGTGTATGAGCCTAGGGAGGACCCGAGCAGTCATGCAGGGTTTCTCCCTCACTACATGTATCTTGAGAGAGACAGTGTGGCTTTCAAGCTTTTGTGTTAGTCAGCGTTTCATCACTGTGATGAAAATGCCTGACTAGAACAACTTAGAGGAGGAAAAATTGACCTTGACCTCACAATTTCACAGGCTTAGTCCATGGTCAGTCAACTCCGTCACTCTGGGCTTGAGGTGAGGCAGAACATCCTGACAGAAGGGAAGGTGGAGCAGAGCTGGGAGAGTGAGGAAAGCAGAGACAGAGTGAGTCAGGGACAAAATATAATCCCCAAGGCCCGCCCTCAGTGACCTACTTCATCCAGCCATGCCCTACCTGCATACAGTCACCACCCAGTGATTCATTCCAATTATTAATCCTCAAATGGATTAACCCACTGATGAGGTTACAGTTCTCAAAATCTAATCAGATCTCTTCTAGACATTCCTGCATTGTCACATGAGATTTTGGGGGACACTTCATATTCAAACTGTAACAGCTTTCCAACCAATAGCTTCAGTCACGTAAGAGAGACCCTGACCAGATGTTCTCTCTGGTGAAAAGTGAGGAAACACCAGGAAGTGATCCACTTGTCCGGCTTAGTCATGTGCTCACCCAGGGAGAAGCAGGCCTGTCCAGTTGAGTCAGAGCTGAACAACACAGACGGAGTAGAAGCGCAGTTCCTACAAACAGGTAGCCCATTGGGCTGATTAAAACAATAGGTATCCATAACAACAGCCATTGCCTAGCTCTAATGAATGATTTTCACAACAGGTTGAAATACTGTTGGAAGGAATCACAGAGCTGTTGTCACTGAACATTCGTCCATGTGACCCTGCCTGCTCAGTTTCCAGAGCCCCGGTGTACCTCTCTACCTGGAGGAATAGGCTCTCTGCCCACAGATCCAGGGACAGACACATGAACTCTGTCCAGAAAGTACTGGCTTTGCTCCAGGAAGGAGTCTCTCAAAGTCAGTGCACACCAAACGCCCAGGAAAAGGATCAGACTGGATTGTGTGTAGACAGAGCAAAAGGAAATGAATGGATCAGAATAAGATTCCGCCCTAACTAGCCTGGTTATTGGTTCCTTTGCATGATGCCAGAAGGGTCTGAAGAGCTGACTCCAGGGGAAAGACTTGTTCCACACTGTGTCCTCACTGCAGAAGCAACAGTAGTACAAACCCCAGCTTCTAAGGATTAGGAGCAGCATCCTCACTAAGTCTGTGGGAAAGACTGGGGCTCTGAGTTCCTTGAACTTAACCCCCTCCCTCTGAGACTCTGTGACCTATCCAGTATCCTTCTGTACAAACTCCTTCTCTGCTTAAATCAGCTGAAGATGGCTTCTGGGACTTGCAACTGGGACCTGTGACCCACACATTATCATAGAGAAACTGAGAGTGACCTTCATTTGTGAATACTCCATATGTTCCTCCAGTGAGCAGAAGGCAATTAACAAGACTCAACAGTAATTCACTACAAATAAAATGCCCTGTGTCTCGGAACACTCACAAGCGCAGTGGATATCTGAACATCAATATGGGTTGATCAGGAAAAGAAGATGCTGTCGTCTGAAATCTCTAGATAGAATTCAGATGAGAGACCATGAGGGTGTGGGTGGTGGAAGGAGACATGTGAAAATAAAACACAAACTCAGTTCATTACTGTATTTGCATTTAGGAAAGTCTTCGGTGTCAGCATGTATGTATGCCACTGTGTTTTCTACAATCTGTGCAGTTTTTATATCATATCCTCATTGAAACGAATACCTCAGTATCCTTAAGCAGAATCCATTGCACCTTGTTTACCACATAAATTCTGTAGGCCCATAAAATATGGAAGAAATGATATTCAAGCTATTACTTTTAAAGAATCTCTGGCCCTGAACAGTTGCCAGGGTTGTTCGGGTAGTCCAGGAGAGGTTTCAGAAGCAGGCCTGCAGGCTTCTTCAGCTTTGGTGATTATTCTCCAGGGCATCATGACCAAGACACTGTTATTTAGAGGAAGGCCATCCCTCTCCTTATCCTCCTAATAGGACACCTCAGTCCTTGGGGTGGGGAAGCTTCAGCTGGAGCCCAAACGTCCAAACACCCAGTACTGTTTCTGTATTCATCACTGCATAGAAATGACAATGCTGAATAAAAGTGACCACAGGACTCAAAAAAAGCACCAAAGACACCAACTGCCACCCTCTTGTTGTCCCACCCCCTCGGTGCCTCTTGCTTGCTCAGGCTCTTGGGGAAAGCTGGCTTTCTGAGACTCTAAAATCTTGTCTCTAATTAACCCCTATAAAAAAAGCACTTCTGGATCATTAAGTAGGTAGAAAGTTGGGAGAGAGATGAAAAGTTTTTACACCCAAAAAAAAAAAAAAATTCCTGCTTTGTCTATCACCCCTCCCATAGACTTTAATAGGTATAAGAAAGCAGCCTCTTGAAAACTGAACCCAAATATCATCATAGCTACCTAGGAGAAGACGTTACCTGGGCACTCATACATTTCAGGATGAATAAGCCCCAGAAGGTAGGCTGAAAACCCTCTGCATTTGCACCTCACTGCTCCACGAGAATGGGAGAAATCAGGTCAATCACCCCTGAAAATTAAAAATGTATGCTCTACCAGGAAAGAACATCCCTGCAGTGACTGTCCCAATTATGCCTCATTAAGATGGCCCACAGAGGTCATGCTGGTCAGGATCAGTTTTAGATCAATTCTCAGCATCACCTGGACACTCAAGATCTTATCTTCCATCATTTGTTTTTCACTTCTCAAGGGTGAGAAAAAGGAAAGAACTAAACATATCAGTTCACTCACTCAAGTATTCATCATGAAGCCGTATTTCTCAGCTATTACTAACCCATCTCTGCTTTTGCAGTAAGTGGCTCCTTTCAGGAAAAAAGAGAAGGAAAAGCCATCTGTCATTTCTCAGATCACAAGATGGCAGTCCTGGGATTGCCACATCACTTTCCTGACAGAGCACCAAGAGGAAAACAGAGCTTACCAATAAGGGACTCACTTTGTCTCCTCCAGGCACTCAGAACCTTGTACTGAAGGACTTTCCCAGGAAGGACTCTGTGACCTTTAGGAAATGGAATAGGGTCCCTCTGTCAGTTACCTTTTCATTACTATGAACGACATTGGAGAGTCTAGTCCATGACTGACTGGTCCCATTTCTTTGTACCTATAATGAGGGTCCCCATCATAGTGGGAGTCCTGGCAGTGTAAAACCTCTCATCTCATGGCCAGGAAGCAACACAGAGCTAGGAGGGAGCTAGGATTCCACAACCCCCTTCAATGGCACACTCTGAATGACCTCTAATGACCTCCCACCAGGTCCCACCTATTAAAGATCCCACCATCTCCCAATAGCACCACCCTGGGGACTGAGCCTTAACACATGAGCCTTTGGGGACCATTTAAGATCCAAATTATAGCAAATATGTCCAGGAATACAGCATGGAAATTAGCATTGTGGAAATAATGCAGAACTTGAAGCAAAAGCTTAGAGTTCAAGTCACAGTTCCACTACTTTCTGTGAGTCCCGAGTCATGTAACCTTCCTCATCATTGCTGATCACCAACACTGGATAATACCTATCTTAAGGTCTAGATGTGTATACAGTCATGCATTGCTTAATGAAGGTGATGTGTTTTGAGAAGTGCATCATTAGATGATATCATCATTGTGCAAACTCACCAAAGGGTATTTACACAAACTAAGACAGCCATAATGTTACTATGAGATAAAAATCTTATAAGTCCACCACTGTACTTGCTCTCCATCTTTGATAGCATATCATTTGCAACACATGACTGTACATGAAAGTATCCTAAAACTGCAGGTGATATAAACATTAAAAAAAATCCTTCTTCACTTTACATCAGTAAAGTTTCTTCTCTTAATATATAAATTCTCAAAATCCATTTTGTTTCACTTCAATTTTTAAATGTTTTATCTGTCTTGACTCTGACCTTTAAAGCCAAACTGATGTTCTTTTAGCCCAAATCGGACAAGCCAGATGTAGATGCCCCACTCTTAACTTCTTTGTCCTTCATCTATCCTCTCTCAAAATCTCATCCCGATCTATCAGTGAGCTCCTTCTTCACAAACCCAACTTCACTCTTGCCTTTGGACTTAGCTTATTCAAAAAATACTTATTGAGTTCCTGCTGAGTGCCAGGCACTTTTCATTCACAGCGAACAAAGCCATCGACAATCGCTGTCCCCTGGAGCTCCTGTCCCATGAGACTCCTGACTATCCCAAGTTAGAATCCTGGTTTTCTCTAAAGGGCTGTCTAGATCTGGTATGATTGAGCACTTTCAGCCTCAGTTGTCAATTCCATCATCAAACAAAGGAGAATCTGAACATAAATGTCATGTCGAACTTTCAACCAGTTTAAATAAAACCCAATAAAGTATAACAGAGCATACAAATAAATAAATAACACACACACACACACACACACACACACACACACACACGGGCATTTCATTTCTCATAGCCTCTTTCCATGGACTCTGGTTGGCTCTCAATCTACACCAGTCAAGGCAGCCTCCGCAACTTCAGGTCTCCTCCTTAGACTGACCCACAGTCCATTGCCCTCTGAAAGTCTCCTGAATGTGTCCGTCATTTCCTGTGGAACTGTTCTTTTTCTGAAACTAGAGGATGAAGGAAGAAAAACAAAACAAAAGACCCTTTTTAAAGTAGCAATTCCAGGTAATGGAAAAACCAAATTCACCAGTGTTGTTTCTAGAAAAACCAAATTCACCAGTGTTGTTTCTAGAAAAACCAAATTCACCAGTGTCGTTTCTAGCAGTTTGGATGCTCTATCTCTATTCATGAACAATAATTTGGGATTCAATAAAATAAGTAAATAGTTTCATTGGTGGACCAGTTTGAAAATTGACTACTAGGTGATGAATTTTCTTAGTTTGTTTTTTCAGAGTCTTTAAAATGTTTTTGGTCTGGCATAATGCTCAGTTTGTTTGTTTTTTTTTAAAGTAGTAGAATTTCAAATTAAGTAGGAGTTTAGCACTGGATCTTAAGGTCGCAACCAGCACATTACTCATAAAAGCAAAAAGATGTAAAGTTGCAGTAAACTGTAAGTAGAAGAAATTAATAATCTGACATTCTCTAGGAAGAATTCACACCAACCAAACATACATAAAACCATGTAACAGAGGAGCAGATAAAAGGAGTTACAAGTTAAAATGGACTTATTAGCCCTTTGTATCACAGCAGACTTCTACCACAGGGACATTACACCTTTGCTACCTATAAGATGGCAGCTACTTTCCTACTATTATGAAGCCACTTTCCGAAATGGCTTTGTTTGTTTCATACTTTGGTAATCACTATTGTTATCTACCAAATGTTTTCCTCTCTCTCTCTCTCTCTCCTCCCCTCCCGCTTCCTAAGTTTATGACAGAATTTTACTTCCCATTCCCTTGAGATTAGTTATAACTATATAACTCACTTTGGTCATGGACAAGTGATGTGTGTCACTTCTGGATAGAAACTTTAATATCAGTACTCCTTTTGCCTCTGCTGAGTGGCCAGACATTCTCCTGATAGTAGCTGCTCCCACAGCCTGGATCCTGGCATAACTCTGCTGATCCATAATAGGCCTTTAGCAGGAATGAGAAATAAACTTATTGTGTTAAGGCCCTGAGAGTTGGGGGATGTTTGTTATTGAACAAAACCTAACCTATACTGACTTGTATTCACATACCCTAAACTAGGGTTACAAGATATTCCTCACAAAATATCAGACCTCCAGTGGATGTGAGTGTGAAAAATAACCATTTTGTGTTTTAAGAAATCAAAGTATTTACATTTTATAACATTTATATTTTTGAAACTGCTTTTTAGCATTATAATAACTATATAGAACAAGGGATGACAAAGTTTCCCATAAAGAACCAAAGAGTAAACACCTTACCCTTTCTGAATTTAATAATATTTGTTACAAGTACTCAACCCTGCTACTGCAGTATGAGCACATTGTTGAGTGTGCATGGCTGTGTTTCAATACAACTTTATTTGCAAAACTAAATGGGGGCCACACTTGCTCCATGGGCCATGGTTTGCCAATGATACAAAGAAAGCAAAATTGACTTTGTACTGATTTCCCTTACCATTCAGCTTCATTACTAACTTACACATTGTTCATTACACTTATAAAGCTTTCTACAACTGCACTCAGAACAAGAATCAAAGTATAAGAATTAAATTATTTCAGCAATTTAGAGCTTCTATTAATTAAATACTAGCCCCACAGGGAAAGAAATGGTATAGTCAAAGAAAGAACATCATAAAGAAGATTAGAAAGGAGGTCCTTTTTCCTAAGTAAGAGTCACTAAATTTTTCTGATTCCATCCATGGTTGAATGTTTACCCAAGAAATGCATCACACACTACTGCCACAATAATGCAGTGTATAAAAATATCCAAGTGACACATTTCCCTAGGTAACCTGCACAAATATTTAGTGGTTCTTTGTGTAAATTTTTCAATTAAATAAACAATTGCTTATATAATGTGATGTAATCCTTAAGAAAAGCATTTTTTTTTTTAATCGGGGAATTAAACATGTTCACAAAAGAAAGATCCAATTCATTTCTTATTTTGACCAGTCACTATTATAACTAGATAAATAAGTGAGCAAAATAGAGATAGCATTCTGGAACTGTTGGCTATTGTGCTAAAATGTATTATTGACTCAGAATTCTCTCCTCCATCTTCATCCTGGCCATCTTTTTTAGCAGAAGTCTACTTCCCTGCCCAGTTGATGTCAGGTACAGCCACGTGACTTGCTTTGTCCTGTGAAATGTTGATAGAAGAAGCAGTTTGCTGATTCAGAGCAGAGGCCTTTCAGGACCTCTCAGAAGAACCCAGCTTTCAGCCCAAAGCCAAACTGTTCCAAACCATCTGTAGATCTGAAGGTGAGGAAAATTAATGTTTGTTGTCAAAGTCTCTAAGTTCCTGGCATTGTTTGTTATGCAGTATGAATACAGTTATTATTTACTATTTTTATTAGTATCAAAAAACACTTTTCACATTGCCATATGAAAAATTATGAGTTGTAACTAAATAATTATCAGTTCAGTAAAAGATGTCTCCACTCTCATCAAGTGTGATTAAACCTAATAATTTCATGGAAAACAATTTCAAAAACTTCTAAACTTTTCTAATATTTAAAGGTGCAGCAAGTTAGTATTTTGAAGAACTAATGAATGAATGTGTCAACTATTCTTTACAGTTATTAGAATTGTTAACCTCTACGGCCTTTTCTCAGTCCAGGGCCTAGAAAAGAGACACCTGTTAACTTAGGAAGAAATGTTTCAAACTATACATTAGAAACCTTTAGAGAATTCCAAACAACTTAAGTAGATTTCTCCCAATACATTTAAATGAAAAATAGAGGGACTGGGTTTGTAGCTCCATGGTGGATCACTTGCCTTGCATGTGTGAGGCACTGGGTTCATATTTTGTACCACATAAAAATAAATAAATAAAGATATTGTATTGTCTACAACTAAAAAAATATTTTAGAAAAAGAAAAATAGAAAGCATTAGAGTGTGACACACATTGAAAGTGTAAATATTATTTTGTAAATGTATGAGAAAAACTAAGTTATGATGACAAGATCTCACAAAAAAAGTTGAGACTCTCTTAAAGGAAGTTTATTTTAGAGAGATCAGAAGTATCAAATATTTGGCTCTATTTCA